AGTCCCAGTAGACGGAGAGATGGACGTGTGCATTTTGATACATGCGCAAGTCCGACGTGTCGGAGAGCAGACTTCTGGCGTGTGAACGTTGAGAGAGAGAGAGAAAGAGAGAGAGAGAGAGAGAGAGAGAGAGACTGGCCTAAAGCCCTGTGAGAGGCGCAGCTAAACGATATGTGTGTGGGGTGGATGGGGAGCAGAGGAAAACGCACAACAAAGGGTTCCTCGAGCGAGCGAGAAAAAGCTGGAAAGCGGGAATGAACAAATCGGGAAAAAAACTGGAATCTGGATGCTGTGGGACATGTGAGAGGGAGAGACAGATTGTGTTGTTGTGTAAGAGCCGACGCCAGACTGGTGTGTAAGAGAGAGAGGAGAGAGAGACTGGCATTAAATAATGCGACGTGTGTGAAAGGGAGAATGATTCCATGCGACCGAACGAACCGGATGTGATGAACGAGCAAATGAGGCATGAGGGAGAAACAGAATGAACGGAAAAACAACAACAGTTTTGAAAAAAACAAAAGCGAGCTCCAAAAAGAAGTAGATCCGTAACAGATGGAAATGAGAAAATGGAGCCCTGTGAGAGCCCGAGAAGACCCGAAATGGAGCCCTCTCAGCCCATAGTGCGAGATAGATCCGCATGTATTGAGAAAGCACGACGCTGCTCTTTGTTGTTGTGTTGGGAAAGAACGGCGTTCATCTTGTATACACCCCAGCGGAACACGGAGAAGCTACATAATGTGAGCGTAGAGCGGCTGTGAAGGTCTGCACGGGGTACGAAAGCACCGAAAAGCTGTGATGGCAACAGGAACGAATCAGAAAGATCCCCGGGAAAGAGTCGGAGAGATTTTATTAGCCAGTTTGCGAAGGAGTTTTGCTGTAAAGTGTTGACCGATGCCAAATGCCAGTCAATATTTATCAAAAGACCAAGTCTTTCCGTCGTGCGCAGATTAAATTGCACTTTTTCGGCCCTAATTATGGACGCATACCCCCGCATCGTCGGCAAGAGCCATCGAACGCTGTGTGCAACATGTCGCCCGGCGATGAGCATATCGACTGCAGCAGAGAACCGCCACAGCGTAGAGGGATGGCGTGACAGATTGATTGATAGATAGGTCGTGCGATAGGCATACGACTTACCCGCCACGTTCTTTGTACCGCGAACTTCCACGGCGAAACCAGGAAAAAACATAAAATATCGGTTGACAAGAAGAACTTGAAATTGGAACAAGAGAGAGCGCCACAACAACAACAGCAGCCAGACAGCAGCACACAGCTCAAGCAACCCGAACCGATCCCGGGCAACTATCCTGAGAACGCACAGTAGTGGACCTTCACACCCTCAGAGTTTTCTCTCGATCCGTGTCCGTGGCAAGGGCATGAAGGATGCGACCGTCAGGTGGTTTGTGCTTGAAAGTGTACGTACGTGTGTCTGTGTGTGATTGGCAAGCTACTGATCTCTCTCTCTCTCTCGCTCTCTCTCTCAGCTGTTGTGTACTTCGTAGTTGTGTTGTGGGATCCACGCAACAATAACATATCGCTAGAGGCGCATTGGGTACATGATCATGCCCACGGCAAAGGTCGTATTGGCTCAGTCCCTGCTGGTTGTGATAGCTGGTCTCGGATGTATGTGTGGAGCATCAAGATTAGTCGGAGTTCGAGCTGGAAAAGAAATCCATCTGGCCAAATATAGTGACAAATATCGGAAAAAAATTGATTCGGAGGAACTTTTAATACCCCCAACTGTTGGATCTATGAGCAAAAATTTCGTGCTGCGCACTTGGAGAAACTATCGAGAGCGACGGAGAGAGGGAGAGAGAGAGAGAAAGAAAGAGAGAGAGACCGAGAGAGAGACAAAGCGAGAACTACTACTACTGTGTACTGCTCCAGAAAGCACCCAGCGTGTTATACAGTTGAGAGAGCTTGATCAGAAAGATATATATCTGGAACGGAAAAAAAGGGTCATCTCTCAAAGAGAGAAGATCCGAAAATATACATAGATCCGCATGCAATTCAGAAAGCACTACGCTGCTCTTTATTGTGCTGTTGGAAAGAACAGCATTCGTCCTTTATACACCCCGACGAACAACGAAGAAGCTATTGTAGTGTTGTAGTGTTAGCGTAGAGCGGCTGTAGAGGGAGTGTCTGCGCGGGGCACGAAAGCACCGAAAAGGTGTGGCAACAGGAACGATTCGGAAAGATGCCCCGGAAAGAATCGGAGAGATTATCGAGAGAGAGAGAGAGAGAGAGAGAGCGAGAGAGAGGGACACTGAGAAGACTGAGAGACGAAGAGAGAAAGAAAGAAAGAAAGAGAGAGAGACCGAGACCAGAGAGAGACAAAGCGAGAACTACCACTTTTACTGTATACTTCTCTAGAAAGCACAGCGTGTTACACAGCTGAGAGGCTTTGATCAGAAAGAAATCCGAAACGGAAAGAAATCGGGCTGTGTGCAGGGGGTGTGAGGGTCGGTCTTAACGAAGAAATCAGATCTCGAAATCACATTCACATTTGGATATAAGACCGGAGGATCCACAGAACTCTTTCGTTGATTGGCTGAAATGTTATGGAACCCGTCGAATCTTCAGGACTTATAACAGGACGACCCAAAACCAAATCGGGATTAGAAAAAAGGTGAAATCAATTGATCGGATCCCGATTTGGGTGAACAGCGTCCATAGTTGTGGGACCACGGTCTACTCGCAACACGGCGCGTCCCCACCTACCCCCATCCACACGAACTCCATCCACCGCCCAGCCCAGAGGAAAGAAAGAGCGCAAAAAGCCAACCCCAAGGGAGGGTGACTGCGCATCGTTGTTGCACGTGACTGGTCCCGAAAAAAACCGTGTGTGGGATGTGTTGTTCTGTGGGGCAATCTCCTGTGGGTTGTCGAACTTCAAATAAATGCACAGACGAATTGGCGGCTTTCCGTCGGACGAGGGTCGATTCAAAGTATCACATGCATAGACATCGTGTCAGAACCGCACAGAGGCCATGTACACGTTTGGTGTGTGCTTCTCGGGAGCGATAGCTCCCCATTTGGTGTGGCCACGTCATAGCAGTACGTCACAACAGCAATCTGGCAGTTGGCAAACCGCGGACCTCTCGGGTTGTTCGTGGTGGACTGGAGAGATTCGTTTCCATTTGGCAGATCTGCCGTTAAGACACACAGGCCATTCAGGCCATTTCTGTCCGGATTTGGGTAGACCGACTCTTGTATTCTTGTATCGAAATGTGATTTCGAGATCTGATTTCTTCGTTAAAACCGACCCTGAGGTGAGGAAAGAGATAGAGAGAGACAGAGATAGATATATATATATATAGAGAGAGAGAGACAGAGAGAGCCAGAGAGAGCGAGACAGACAGACAGACAGACAGAGCGAGACAGACTTGGTGCGTACTACGTACGCGGCTGTGGGCTGTGGAGTGAGCGTCCGATCAAGAAACCGGAACGGATAAACATCCCCGAAAGAGGCAATCTAAATCCAAGTGAATATATATATATGATAGGAAAAATTTGGAGAGCTGGCAGCGGCCGAATATGTACATATATATCCGGAATGCTGACAGGGAGCGGTCCGCCGGAAATGTGGCGCTTGAAGAAAATTATAAATGAGCCGAAGGACAAACGGTTGATGTTGTTTTCTTCACGTGAAACTCGTGTGATTGCAAATAATCCCAAAATCTAGCAAAGACTCGGTCCGTGGTGACAAAAATAAAAAATGCTATGCCACACAACAACAAGTAGAGCCATCAGAAGATCTAAAGAACACGCACACGATAGGGTACACAAGCCCGAATATTACACCTACAATATATACCCGCTATACGTTTGGATGCCCAGAACTGAACAACATGTCCGCACACTACATTTACTTGCTATCAACGCATATTATGTAAAAATCAATTCGTCAATGTGCTGCTGCTCTCGCCGTCGAAGATGCTGGCCACAGAGACGACTGACTGTCGTCGTGGGCCTACTCTCGCTGTTGAGAGTTGAGAGTACTGGCCATCGGAAGAAGATATCATTATATCTATACAGGAGATATTCCCTGTCACGTACGCGTAGGAGAGTCAGTTTTCCGGCAAACCTTCGGTAAGACCAGCTCTACTATGTTCCCCTGCGGGCGAATTCTGAGTAGTACCGTTTCTTTTTCCTCCATCCAGCGTAGTGAGAAATCGTGCGCACAGACAGCTGGTTGTTATGTCATTCGCTGCACTATTTCGCATCGTCAGACACCGTGTTGAAGATAGGGAGGGGGGTGATGTAAATGCCACCATAGAGCTAGTGACGTACACACACAATGGGTCGGATCTTCAACGGTGTGTTTCTCAGAAAAGAGCCGGCAGTTCCTGCGTTCCCAGAACCTTCCGCACGCAGAGCATTCTTTTTCAGTATTTAACAAGGTTGCGAGAAAAATGGGAACCTATTTTGAAATGGGAATCAACCGCTCTCCGGGATTGTGTCCATCAGTGCGATTTAGTTTCGCTCGAAAGCGCTTTCGTGGAGTTTATGTTGCCAGAAAGAGTTCCAACGGGCGGCCTACAGAGGGCGACGTGACTACTCGGTCGTGTTGGCTGTTGCGTGGAGCATGAACGTCTTCGGTAGCACTACTGGGCTAAAAAGTGATGCCGCAACATGGTGACATCGTATTGTGTATCGCATTTTATATGGTTTGAGGGTATTGGAGGCAGACGAGTGACATCGTGTACTGGAATACAGAAACAAAGTTTGAACATGCACAGCTTTTGATGGGGTTAGGGCCGGAAAAATGATAATCTGGTTGTGATTTGTCCTAAACGACACTTACCTGCACGGCGCGCCGAACACAACGTATTTAATGATAGACGGTTGCAGCGCACCCTCGTCTGTAGACGACAAGCCACGTACCAAGACAACAGGAAGCCAGTAAGTACTTGAAACGATTCCGCGGTTTCGCACACCGATCGTCGTACGGTTCTATCCTTCCTTGCTCGACCTAACCGAAAGAACGAAACACAGCTACAAATAGAAGCTCAAGAGAGTGGAACCAGTAAATGTCGGAGCCAGGTACGACCCCGACCCGACTCCGTGAAGGCGGCGACATTGAGCACTGCCGACATGTGCTTCGACGTTACTCGACCCCCTCGTCCTCTTCGTCCTCGTCCTCCTCCTCCTCGTCCTCCTCCTCCTCCTCGTCGTCCGCTTCACCGACTACACTGGAAGATTCAAACATGTCCGACCCGACGATTCGACCACAGCTCGTGCTAATGTACAAGGGATTGTCGGTGTGGGTGCTCGCTGCGTTCGGCTTGTTGCGAACATGACGGACCTTCACCCCACCGCTACCGTCGTCACCAAAACCGACCTTGTCAAGAATTTTTACCCGAGTGCCACGCTGAGGAATGTCGCAGCAAATGTCTAAGTCTGCCTTAGACTTCTTGTTCCACCTAGTCCAGTAGATGGGACACGTCTTGTCTACCCTCAAGTACAACGCGGCCTCAGGAGTGCAACGCTCTGTACCGGGTTCAAGCATAAGCTGAAGCTGCGCGTTCGTAGCGATCCGAAGGAGACGAACAAACTCTTCGTCGACTTCGTCTGAGTCCATCGACTGGCTAGCGGCGTTGGGGGACGAGTACACTATCAGATCACCCCACACAAGTAAGCCCGAGATGTCTCTCGACGACCTACTGCTCCTCTTCGGCTTTTTCAGCACGAGCTTGGGGTTGGAGGGGTCACCCTGTACGCACGGGGGGGGGGAACAAGGACATGGGGGCGGTAGATAGTTTGGGGAAGATGTTGAGTGTCAGGGCGGTTCGTTTCCAAGCAGCGAGGGCGGGAAACAAAAAAGTAGACATCACAGAGACAGACGTCAAAAAATGAAACCCGCAAGCGACTGACGTTTTCGATATGTATGGTCGAAGCGTACGAACTCGGGCGAAGGACACTCGCTAGGTGGAAATAGCATGAACCTGTAGGACGAGGTGGGAAGTCTTGGACACCGCCTGCGCCACGGCGAACGAGGCCGCCTCTACGTCTTCTTCCTTCTGTAGTTCCGCTTTGAGGGCCTCTTGCACCCGCCCGGGTGCAGTGGATGGTGGGAGGCCAGCGGGTAAGCACCTCGGACCAACGAAGACCTCTTGCCCTCCACGTCGGCTCTGGACAGCAAGCATCGAGCGATACATCAGCATGACGAGTGATCCCGTCATAGTCAACAAGGAACATGAAAAATCACCAGTGCACACACAAACGACGCGACATGAAACACCGCATGACGCAAAGAGCAAGATCTCCTGGTACAACAAGATCTCCCGGTACAACGAGAACATCATTTCCAGTCCACCTGAAACATGCCCGAGCTGTGCGCCTTGTGAAACGCCGAGGCGATGTTAGTCTGCAGAGCGGCGCGCTTCGACTCATCCATCACATAAAATTCGACTCGGCGCCCTCGCGATATGGCATCCACTGGAGCTGTAGTGGTTTCCACTCCAATTCCTAGGACTGTGTCGCCGGCGTTGGTGTATCTATTTCGAATTCGCGAACAGGAGGCAGTGTTACGATAACATGCACCATCATCGATCACACCTGGGGTTGCTGAGAGGAGTAGGGCCAATCGCTCGTCCGGCCGATATCGGAGACTGAGTATAGCCTTATTCTTTCTGGTCGCGTCCCAGAAGGACGTTGAGTAGCATTACCAGGACGCCATAAACAAGGTTGTGAAAGAGATTTAACCCTTTCGTGACACCATGCATGAAAACAGACGATAACTGTGTGTACGCTCACGCGCCTCCACGGTATAACTATCGCAAGATATGGAAAAAAATCACGACCAAATATATAATTCCATGCTGAAGATAGAGGTTATCATGCATGCTATCTATCGTGCATGAAGTCACGAAAACCCTCTCCCTTGAGCGGACATTGCATACAGCAAATGAACCTCCCTTCACTCCCAACATTCCGGACCATACACACCGCAGTCAAAGCAAACATCAGGCACCGAGGCAGTACGTCAGCATCGGCTACGGTGTGCCTTGTCTCTGCTCCCCGGAACCGGGTCGATCACATGTTGGGGGTGTTGTTGCATGAACCCTCCCGTGGTATTTCCGTTTTGGATCTTACAGCAGTTGGCAGTAGATGGGATCTGGAAAAAAAGTTCGTATGCATATGCATCTGCCCCACACCAGAGACAATGTTACTGCTGCAAATGGTACAGCTGTGTGTACCCCTGTGCCCTGCTGTGCACACTGCTATATAATATATGTGTGTTTATGTGGTCGGCTGCCTCTTGTGTCTCTGCTGGTCTTTACGGCTATCTTTCGGCACACAAAGTTATCGTCTGTTATCATGCATGGAGTCACGAAAGGGTTAAAAGATGTTTCAATCGCCTGCCATCAACGCGGTACGTACCTTGCGATCAAATACTGACACGCCACGGAAGGGAAGAACGTTCGGGACCCCCCGTTGGGTGCCCCTGGAGGCAAGTTGTCCAAGTGGATGACGTGTCGCGCATGCGGGACAGGACCCTGGGAGTGACCGAAAACGTCTGTTACCACAACACGTTTGTTGCACGTGAATCCCGTCGTACCATCTGAACCTGACAGGTGCCACGATAGGGGCGGACGAGAGTGCGTCTGTGAAATTGTTTGTGGTGGCATGTGGGAAAAATATAAATATGATACCTAACCTCTGAACGATGGGTGAGCGAATGCGCGATCCGTAACGAAAAGCTGCTTAGATTAGTACGTATCAAACTTCTAGGATATTCATGTAATCTACAGCTGTACCCAGACACCATGAACGTTAGGGCTAAAACGCCCAACCCATATCATAGTGCGACTCACCTCTGCGGTGCACCACAAGAACTAGCTCCTGTTGGTTCCGCATGTGGCCTTCCTTGTTCCTCGGCTGGGCGCCTCCGCTCACGCTCGTGTAGTAGATGACGAGTGGGTTGGCTTCGACGTCCGCATCGCTGAGTTCCCTGAAGGCGTCTGCAGACACGGATGGATGTACATGTACGGGAAAAGTAAAAAGATATCATCACTGATTGAGGTTGAAGAGGCTCACAAGTTGACAGGCGATATGTAAACGAGAGAAGAAGCTGGAAACAAGGAGTACTGGGAGCGACGAGAACTCGCTACAGACAGACACAAGATGCTACAGTCGAGGTGGCACTCTCGAGTTCACGTTGACCACACAATTCCTACATGTGTATTCGAGCGAAGCGGGCGTGGGACCTTGAACTCGCTTCAAAAAAGTATTGTGTAGCTTATTTTCGCCGCACACAGACAAGCTTCTCCGACAGTCGAACTTGAATACTCGGCCTCTACAGCCCAAAAAGCGACGACAAACCATCAACCAGAAAGTGATCGCTTGTCGCTTCGCGAAGCAACCCCCTATTGTAGCATCGCTCACAAATGCTCACGTACCATAGACCAGAGCGCCTTTCTCAAACCAAGGACGAGGTATCGCACATGCAACCGTCCCTTTCTCGTCAGTCGCCTCGAGAACGCCCTGAAGAACTTCCTTCAAAGCGTTCTTCGAGGTTGGCGTCCGCTTGAACAAGAAGTCGTTGCGCGTGAGGTCGACCATGCAGAGCTTGGGGGAGTAGTTGGTCTTGAGTGGAGAGCCGCCTACGTAGTCGTTGGTGCGTGCGGCGAACAATTGCCCGCCGTGGATAACCGTGTTCCTTGACCTGCACAACGTACAGTGTGTCACGGCAAAGCGGGCGGGCCGAGGTGGTGGCGAGGGTGCTGAAATAGCAGTCTGTCATGGGGGAACGGGCAAGACAGAGGAAAAAAACAAAGGGGGCGCCTTACAGCGACCTCACCATGGCCGAGTGAAAAGCGGCTACTTGCTGTGTTCTTCCTGTACCACAACAACATCAACTTAGATTATATCTGTGGACAACTGGGAGAGAAGGCGCAGGCACTTACATGCTAGTATCCACCTGTAGCATCACGTTCTCCGGTAGCGTTTGCACGTCGCCTTTCCGTCGCCTCTTGGTCGGGTGGCCTCCTTCGTCATCTGATGAGTCTTGAGTCCGGGCAGTCCTTGCACTCGAGATCCGTGCCGGGGCCTTTGTTGATGACGGCGCACGTCTCGAGATGTAAGGTGTTGCAGCTCGAGCACTTGGACCTGTCACTCATCAACACAAACGAATACATTACATCATCGGGTGCAGGGCACAACGCAAGAGAGAGAAGGATCAGGACTAACGACGATGTTGAGACGGCGAGTCACACAAGCTAATAACGCAAGGCGTGGACGTGGGTGAGGTTACCGTAGGCGTCGGAGTTTCATATCGGAGGGGGGGGTTGATTCGCGGCTGAAGCCAAGCCCACCAGGGGAGCTTGACGTGGGGGGGGGGGGGGGGGGG